CCTCGCCGACGCAACAATATATAAAACATTTGTAAATCAATTGTTTCTTGTTTTAAGCGGAAAGCTCCGTAATAGGCTATCTGCAGGGACCTTATCCCAAATTTATTGTCATAAACTGCAGATTCAATGGGAAATGTGCTTTAAGTCCTAATGCTTTATTTCCAAACAGAACACAACAATCATCCTTAAAAAGCTCTTATCAAAACTACTAAACTTCGTTACTTGAACGATAATTCACTTGAATGAAGTATGTAGGTAACATTTTTCTTTCCTGTCACGAGAGAAAATGGTTTTCCATTTGTTAAACAGCTTTGAAACCTGGAAAGTTCTATCAACAACAAACCAGGAGTTACATAATTTTAACTTGCTCGGACTGTGAATCCCTGGTTCGCGAGCCGTTGTTCCAAATCGACGCTTTCCATCTGGGACTGTGTGTGTGTATGCTGTAAGAGTGATGGTAATATCCAATTTATTCGATCAGAAAAGATTAGCTCACAATTTTCGGTGGGTGGTGTTAACTAGCTCCCTTCCTCTAGTTTGACTATGGAAAGGTACGGCTATGGAAAGAGAACTCTTCTGTAGGTTTGTATAGCTGTTAACAACAGTTATAAGTAAGAATTGACTCTTAAATATGAACCCCAAAATCTTACGTTTTCATTAACATCCAGAGCTATATTAATTAGTTGTTTGTTTGTTTTTCAGATTGTTTTAAGCATAAATTGGTAATTGACTTAGATACTATGAGATACGTGAAGTAAAAGCTTCGCTATTTTTCTCTATCAAAGATGGGAAGTAATTCACACACGATGCTGTACACAAGTTTTGGACATGGTATTAAAAAATAAAATATAATGTCTTATTAATCCTTAATGACTTAAATAATAATTACATTTCACTGACTTAATCTAGTTCACAGCATAATAGTTGTTATTCATGTAAATGATGATATACATAGCACCTAAACCACTACTGTATCTGTCGGCCTGATGGACCCTGGTAATGAACGAAAGGCCTCATCGGTACTAGGCAAGGCAGCTATAGTGTGAATGACATATCTATATAAATAATATGCTTGCATTTGTCTGTCCAGAACTTTTCTCGCAAATTTCTTGATCAAACGCTACAAATCTCATATAGTTAGAAAGGCATTTGTCCAAGGAGTCCGGATTGCATATTCGCTTTTCCATTCAGAAGCACCTTACCTGTTTTTTTGCTTAGTCAAACTTTTGCTCGCCACTGTTATGCAGAATCTGCACTCAAGTCTCGAAAACGTTTTAATTTGTTTTTTGTTTGTTTGATTTTTATTTCTACTTCTAGTTAGTCTGGAGGTTCAAAGATCGTGGTATACTGAGGAAAGGTTATCCAACATACTTCAACAGCGTATTCCAAGGACTGCCCTCATCGATCAAGCGTGTCGACGCTGTGTACCAACGTACTTCAGACTTACATACTCTGCTGTTTTCAGGTATTTTAAAATATTGAACTATCACCCACACACACATACAGATGTATTTTCTTTTTTAACCTAAATGGGTAGCTTACATTACGTATGCACACAATAGAGCGTAGTTAACCTAATATTAAGTTTTAGGCCTAACATCACTTTGTTACGTTACGTGACAGTTCTACAACAGGAAAAACTTGTGCCTTATTTTCAAAACAAACTTAAAACCTGAACTGCGTAGCAGAACCTAGGTTTTATACAGCAGTTTTTTTAAATAAAACTCTTCTGTCGCATCTCATTAATCGGTTTGTATAGAAGCAAAACATGCACGAAACGTAAGTAACATGCCAATATAATGTTACAACCTTCCACAGCTTTCTTTAGCTACGTTGACTTTTGTTAGGTCAGAATGGTGGAACCAATATGTAAATGAAGAACTTATGACAAAGTTGTGATGATCCGATATCAACAGTTGTCTTTATTAGTAGCCTATATAGATTATATCTCCAATTTTTATCTTTGGCGAAAAGAAATCTGTAATATAACTTTCTAATTGTAATATAATGCGTTCTTAACAAATTATCACGCCAACAATACCATAGGTATACCATAAACACAACATTCAATTCCCAAACGTTAATAATGCTTACAGCAATCGCTGAAGCGTAATATTTATTTTCCTTCCTTTGACGTAATAACTAATTAACGAATGACCTTATGGGGAGGAAATGATAAAATGAATCTCATAAACTAAAAGAACACCAAAAATTATATTAAAGCCTACGTCATGAAGAATATTGGGGAAAAAAAGTTAACCTAAAAACACCGATTCGCCATAAAATTATAATTTTTTTCTTTATAAGAAACACAAATACTTATCCTCAACTATAAGTTAACCCTAAAACATGAATGCTTTGTTGTTGTTTTTCTTAAGTGGGTTGACTATGTGCACTATCAAAAGGTATATAAAATAGGGACATTTTTAGCATAAGTCGCCATGTATAGTTACTACCCCCCCAAAAAAACAACTTAAACTACAATTACTTGTTAGTCGAAAAAACACACTCTCAAACTTTGTTTAAAACGATAAATAATCACATATTTTTATTCATTTAAGTTAAAAAATAAAACTAATCTATTAATAACCTACTTGCTACGAAGCGAAAATCCAAGATGGCAGACGTAAGTCTGAATAGGTGTTTAGGTCCTAAGATGGCAGACGTCAGTTGTTGTTGTTTTTTGATAAATTAAAATAAGCGCCATAGCCAACAAATTTAACATATGTAAATGAAGCTGTATCAAAAGAAGTAAATAGTTTCCCCGCAGAGCATACTCGTCAAATGTTACTTTTAGGTAACTATCGCCAAAGCTTTGATACGTTTCCATTTTTAAATACTAATCAAAGATTATGACAACTTTATGTCAAAATAAGAAGTCGCATAATAGGAGTTATTTGCCATTGAAAAGAAGCCTTACAGCTAAAAATGGTATATGATAGTGGCGATATCTAGGCCTTGTACACGTAATTATTAATATAATAAAATGAAGTTTAAATTTATGTTGTGACATGAAAGAAAAATAGAATATTACCTAGATTTTCAGTTAACTGAAGAATATTTTTTAGTAAAAACTTTATAAATTTTATAATAGGTGTTTAAGGATGCTTGTTACGCTATTTTTAAAATTAACTCGTAAGAAATTTTAAAAGTGTCTCTCTCAGACGAGCATGCTTGTAACTTGACTAACCCAGGCATAATAATTACACGTAACTGCACGAGTACTGAATAATTATTTAAACTTAACCATGACCTTAGACATTTGCGTGGCAAAAGATTATTTCATACCTACAAAGCACTCAAAATTAACGTGTTCCCAGTCGAAAACAATAGAAATTATAGCCTCTCGTCAGTGGCGCTTTTAAGTATAACCAGATTATTCGTTTGCTTAGAGCCTCGAGCAGAGCTCAAGGGCACTCAGATTCTCGAGTTTTGTTTTAGTTTTCATTATAACCTTGACTTTTGCTGTTTCAGTATTGCACTCAGTTGACAAAACAAACAAACAATATATTCAATGAAACCGATTAAAAAAAAACATATCTCAGTAAGGGATGGACGTTTAAAAATTGCCGAAGCAACACACTTCTCAGTCAAACAAGTGTACGATGCGCACACTGTTTGTTAAGTGCAAATACACAAACACACACTGTGCATGATTTGAGAAAGATAGCGGTGTTAGTAGCAATGATTTTTTAACAAGTATACACAAATTTCGTGTTGTGTTGGTGTCTTTTTTGGTTTTTAAAAATATAGTAACTGGTATTTTTAGGGGGATGGGTGAGGTGAACCAAAATAATTTTGCTTAGGGCCTCCAATGGTTTTAGCGCCTACCCTGCTTCTCGTTTTCTGTTAAACGAATTATTAAGTGAATTCTTCACGTGTTGCAATGTTTTCTAAATCTACGATATCTTGAGAATGACCACTATTGTAATACGTACTATGCGAAGCGCAACTATAATAATTTTCCTAAATGTCGTGCATTAACACCTATGTTTGAATAAAACAAGGAATGCTTGGAGTAAAATGCGTGAATTGTTGATTAGTAATCGTTAGGCTACTTCTCGTCTTACTTCAATTACACAGGCTTGCGAATTTAAACTTCATAAAGTTGTTTTGGTTTTAATAACGGATTTTCCATAATTCAGCTACAGAGAATTCGAAATTAATATTCATTTTTTTCTATCACGTAAGGATTTTTTACAAATCGGGAAGAGAAAAAACTCTTAGTTAGATCAAATTATTTCGTTTACCACAATGAACATTTTTTATTATTATGTTTGTTAACAAAAATACAAACAAACTGAAGAAACAGGAAGAACATTGATGTCAAATGAATATGCATCCTCATTCATCTTGATTTTTGTGTGTGTGTGTGAAATTTACGTCTTTTAGTCTCAAAACTAATTGCGTCTGGAGCATCTCATTTCAATGACCAACACTAATCAGCCATCATGCTGATGTTCCACTTTCCCTGATGTCTTGATGAAACCTTTCCCCTTGTTATTCGTTGACGGCACCGAGATTTTCAGGGAAATAGTCAATATGTGAGTGTAAGAAATGAACTTTCAAGCTTATATTAAAACCCAACTCTTTGAATATATCGAGCATGTTACTGACAATATTGGGTCCTTGTTGTTTCCTAAACATTTGTCAATAACATCTTCAAAGGCAATCCACGCTTCTTTTTCAACATTCCTCATTGTATTTAACCTTTTAGAAGTTCAAGATTTTCGTACTTTTCCTTCAAGTGAACCGAATGAGCAATAGGAACAGATGCATATATGTTAACATGGTGAAGGAGAACGCCTTTTAGACTTCTTTTGGAGGAATCAATGAATAATCGCCATTCACTTGGTTCATAGACTACAGCTTCTAGCATTTGTATTAACTCCACAATATTGTTGCAATAAACCAGTGAACCTCCTTGTGAAAAGTATGGTATAAACTCTTTCTCACTATTTCTGTACCAGTAAAATGGTATCCCTGGAGAAAATAAGTTTTTAGCCCGAAATCTGGACCCAAAAATCTCTGAAGAATCATTTAGAAGGCCCAAATCATTAATTTCATCTTGTGTGAAAAGTTGTGG